AAAGAGGAGCAGGGTACCCAGGGCTGCTGGTGTCTCAACTTGCATGGCTGGTAATTAGTCCTTTGTGTCCAGCTAAGCGCCTTTCATCCACCCCACCTGCTGGTGTCTGCTTTCCCCATTAGCATCTCCCAGCTCTGAGCCCTCCACCCTCTTTGTGGCCAGACCATCTTGTTTTTCGAGGTGGTGGCCTTGCGGTGCACAGACAGGGAAGGGCCACAAAGACTAGACTTGCTCACATTTTCCATGGTAGGTGCCAGGCAAGTCTTTCTTATCCCCACCCCAGAGGCAGCTGGGTTTAGGTCACCTGGCTTAAAGGCAGACAGCTGATAGCTAGGTCTCCAAATTTGGGGCCTTTGGAGGCCTAGTTTTGTCTCTCAGTTCCTCTCTGTTCGTGAAATGGGAGCTGACTCAGCAACAAGTCTCCAGCCCAAGTGAAAGGCTACTGATGAGTTCATGGGTTCTAGAAACCTGGCCTCAGCCCCACAGCTCTCAGCTCTGAGGTCACTGGCATTGGTCAGCCAGTCCAGTAGCTCCAACCTCCCTTAAAACCCTGTTTTCATTGTCCCCATGATCATGTAGCTTGAGTACAGTAGCTGTTGGGATTTTCATGAAATTTGTGTTTATTTAAGTCACATGTAAAATCTGGCCACCTTTCAGGGGCTCAGTTAGCCATCCATGACTAGTGGCCACCGGGCTGGACGGCACAGAAAACATTTTCATTGCAGCAGAGCGCTCTCTTGGACTACACTAGACTTCACAGCCAGAAGGTGCAGTATGCTGGCATCTACATTACATAGGCCTCCTCCTGTATAACCCTAAAGCTGCACCTTTCAATGGAATCTTCTCAAGTTCCCAAAGTGCCAAGACCCATTGTGATGAAGGGGCATCTGGCAATGGTACCTCTACAGAGGTGTCCTCTGTGAAATTCACCGTCACCAGGGCTACAGGACCTGCTGCTCATGTAGGCCTCAAGATGTTCTTGGTGCATATGTGATTGACAAGATTCTATTCATCTGTGTGGTCGGGGACTTGGTGCTCATTAGTTCTGTTCATGCCATCACCCTGGGCATGCCCACGTGACAGCTGACTGTGGAGGGCAGTAATGGCAGAAGCAGGAAGGGATAGGCTTCTGGATGCTTCTAGACTTGCCCTGCTGGGGATCATGTTAGCAGCCTCCCGTATCTCTTTCTGAAGAGCCTTTACTATAGAAGGATTTCCAGTCATTTGCTTGTTTGTTTTTTCAGCCCAGAGAGAAGACAGGGCACTTTGGATTTGAAGGTTTAACCAGAAGCAGTTTGTTTCTGGAAGAGGGGCATTTCTTTGTTCTCTACCGAGGTCTACCGGGCAGCCCGGCATGCAGCACACTGTTTGCCTACCTCCTAACCATACCTGTCATGTGCTTGGCAAATCAAACGAGAGTTCTTTCTTCTTCTTTTTTTCCATTGCCTTCCCCACCCCATCAAATTGTAGGTGCAACCTCTCATTTTTCTGCTGCCTAGATGATTAAAAACCATGACTTAGTGGAAAAATGCTGACCTCCTCAGGGTCAGGCTCTTAAGCAGCTGTCGGAGATAAGACTGTGCTGGCAAGAGGCTCAGAAACACTTTGCAAGGATTTCTGTCTTTTCCCGAAGAAACAAAAGAAGCTGTTCTGGTGCAGGATGTGTTTTGTTGTTGCTTAATTTTGGAGAGAGCTATAATTTTCAGAGTCACAAATTTGGTTGACCTGATGATAAAATACAATATCTGATGGAAAGATTAGAGTAATTGTTATAGTGATTTTTTTAAAACAAAAACAGCTTTATAAAAGTGTTTTTTCCTGAGCTGGGCAGTGGTGGCACACGCCTTTAATCCCAGCACTGGGGAGGCAGAGGCAGGCCAGTATCTGTGAGTTCAAGGCCAGCCTGGTCTACAGAGTGAGTCCCAGGACAGACTCCAAAGCAACACAGAAAAATCCTGTCTTGAAAAACAAAAAAGTTTGTTGTTTTTTTTCTTTCCTTTTTAATGGTTCTTGCTTTGAGCCAGTCACAGTGCAAACATCTTTGGCAACTACCACAGTATTGGCTGTATCACCACAACTGTCACAGTATTAGCTGACCCACAGTATTAGCTGACCCACCTCCGCTCATGTTCAGATTGTTCCCCCAAAGACTTAAAGACCTGACTGTGGAGCTCTTGGTGTGAAAGCCATTGATCGCTATTATTTCCACGACTGTGTTAGTAGAATTGCTTCATGCTTGGAGAGTGGAGACCTGTGGGGATCGATGAATTTTGCTTCTGTCCTCAAAGCATTGCCTCACTTATATGCTTGCCCTCTTGGACCCATCGAGTATGATGAGCAGGACACTTCATTTCTCTGGAGGAGAAACTGATCTGGGAGCTTGAGAGGGTGTGATGGAGGTGGATGTCAAGGGTGTATGTAGTAAGGACCCAGATTTCACGGCTCAGCCCAGGGACCTCAAACGGATACTTCATTGAAGGCCTGTAGGCATCCGAGTCCCAGAGCAGCTGATTTCTAGAAATGTGGCCTTCAATTTTTGGCTTTAGGAATCGACCACTATTTCATACAGCTCTTTTGAAGACGGAGGTCCTGCTCAGCCATGGCCTCATCCACTGTCAGCATCATCCTTCTAGCTTGTAGCAGAATCAGCTCTTCTGTTGCTAGCCTGGGCTGACTCTAGTACTTTCTGTTATTCGGTGACTTGAGTGTCATTAGAATCAGGCTCTTATGTCTCCTGGTCATGCCACAAGCTGTCCTGTGGAAGGAAGCAGGTTTGTTGGTCCAGAGGCTTCTTTTTTAGCTCCCACAGCTACGTCTCAGGTCCAGAAGGATGAGCGTCTGGGCTGGGGAAACATGGGGCTTCTGTTTATTGGCAGTCATTCTTGTTCACAGGCTGGAGCTTACATCAGCCAATAGGATAGTGGGGACCTGAGTCATGTTCCCCTTGGTCAGTTTCCCACCTGGGAAACTAAAGTGATAATATGAACCCTGGTGTATCCTAGTTGAGGGTGAAGTTTGAATCCTGGTTCTGCCTTGTGACCCAGACTCTTGCTATCCCTAAGGTGGTAGGGATGTCTCAGTGAAGTGACAGACATCTGGTAGACTTTGTAAACTTAAGTGTGATTTCCACTCTCTGGGGAGCACCTGTATCACACACCAGAGCTCATGCTTGGAAGGTTCCTCATAGCCTCACCCCCAGGAAGGGCTCAGCTCCATAGAAGTGAGCAAAAGTGCCCCCCACCCCCGCCAGAGCTTAGCTGATCCACTCTCCACTTGCACTTGTTAATGTGCGTGCTCCATGGAGTCCAAGGGCAAACATCAGAGTGGGCAGCATAACAGGCAGGAGACAGTGGGCAGCTTCCCCGGGCCTACCTGACTTTCTGGGTCCAGCCCCTCCCTGGTTTGTTTTCCTTCTGGTTGCTATTACGATACTTTTTATGAGCCCTTTTAAGTCTTTAATGATGCATGCTCCTGCGGTTGGCTTAAGGCTTAATCCCAAGCAATAGGCCTTTATTGGATAAATGGTTAATAATCACTGGTCTGCAGGGATCGGGACGCTTTGTGAGGCCCGCGATTCTCAGAAGCGCACATGGCCTGTGAGTGGGTCTGAGTGTATGCAGGGAAATCAGACACCGCGGTAGTACCACAGAGCTGGGTATGGATACGCACTTCTTCTGCCCTCTGGGTACAGCGAAGCCAGCAGCTTCCCAGGACGTCTCCAAACTCCAAACTTCTCTTTCCATCCACTTGAGCTTGACGTGAACAGACTGTGTGACCTTCAGTAAAGTCTCCTTTCCCCTCAGGGGCCTGGGTTTCCTGTCTGTTAGACAAAGAGGCAGGCTGGAGGAGATGGCCTCGAAGGTGCCAAGTGTCAGTAATCTGGTGAGCCCCAGATTTCCCAGACCAAAGCTCCTCTCTCCTCCTGGGTGTGTGACTGAGGACTGTGAATGGCAAGGGACCAGCATCCCAGAGGATTAAGTACTTAGCTACTGGGCAAAGAATTGGGTCAGCTGTAGTCACAGGGCAGCGTGTGCGAAGGGAAGCCAGACTTGGCTCCTAGTTTTACTGCCTGGCTGGGTGTTTGGTTCGGTCGGCACTGGACAGAACCCACAGTGGGCATTAATAAATGGGACCTCTTCCATGGGACTCTGGAAGGAGATTCGAGTCCTCCAGGTGTACAGCCGGCAGGAAACCCAGAGGTGCTCACAGGCGAAACAAAGGAAGGCTCGTGGATTCTGGTCCCTGATAGCTTGTGACTGGAGGCCTTGCCTTGCCTTGCCTTGGCAGTTGTGATAAGATCCAAAGAGGCAGGCGCTGCAGGAGCGTGGGAGCGAGCACATCTGAGCCCGGGTCTTAGCTCATCTCAGGCTAAAAGGGCCTGGACAAGGAGTTTGCCCAAGCCTGGGATTTTTAACACATGTGAGCAACACTTGCTTTTGACTGTGTCAGTTTAACACGATGAAGAGCCCGGTTGTTTATTTCTTCTAGACACCAATAATTATTCTGGCAGGAACATAATGTTTTCGTGTCTGCTGTATTATGTGGATTGTAGGCATAAAGAGCTTATTCCAAAGCAAGGCCTGGCATACTGCGAGGACGTGATTTTCTATTCTTTAATCTAGAAATGAAACACTATAAGCAGAGTTACAGCCCACCCTTTTGTTCAGTGGTGTGGTCCCCAAAATTTAGCTTCAGGGTTAGAAGAAAAGTCTGGCCAAGGAACGGTTTTTCCCTAGAACGTACTCCCCTGGCTCCTTTCTTTCACCCAGTGTCTAGAAGGCAGAACATAGTCCTTGGAAGATGGCCACTGTTGTTCATTCTCTCTCTCTCTCTCTCTCTCTCTCTCTCTCTCTCTCTCTCTCTCTCTCTCTCTCTGTGTGTGTGTGTGTGTGCGCGCGCCAAGTTTCCCTTTTCAGATATATATGTATGTATGTATGTATGTATGTATGTATGTATGTATATATGTGACCAGATGTCTGCTTTGCTCTTTAAATTTTCAGATCTTTCCTGACCCATCAGACTTTGACCGCTGCTGCAAGCTGAAGGACCGCCTGCCCTCCATAGTGGTGGAGCCCACAGAGGGGGAGGTGGAGAGCGGGGAGCTCCGGTGGCCCCCTGAGGAATTCCTGGTCCAGGAGGACGAGCAAGACAACTGCGAAGAGACTGCAAAAGAGAAGAAGGAGCAGTAGAGTCCCTGCAGGCTCACCTGGGTCATGCCAGCCAGCATACCTGAACTGTTTTTCCCATGGCGATGGAAGAAGAGAGTGAGCCACAGTCATTCTGAAAAATGTCAACTGTGGCTTCCGTTTTGCACCTGAAAATCACCGAGTCGGTTTTCTTTTCTTGTCTTTTTTTTTTTTTTTCTTTTAATACGTTGAACAATGGAGCCCTCTGACAACTTGCAAGGCTGAGAAAGGAAGCTGCTGAGAACAGGGCTGTGGGTGGGGGTGTGGGGAAGGGGTGCTGCTTCTAAGATCCCTATCTGAACTCTAGTACCAGAGGCAATGTGTATGTGCTGGTTGAGGGGGGGGGTCTGGTTAGGGGTGGGGTGTGAGCAAATGAGCAAGAAAACATTTGGGGTTACAAAACAAAACAAACCCCACATTTTTGAAGAGAACACAGCCAGGAAGTGCTTACCAGCATTTGCTGGGGCTGCTGGGCCGTCTGACAACCATGTTTTTATCCCCAGCCTTGTTGCTCACCACCGCTGCCAGCCTTTGCTTTCATTTCAAGCATCTTGGCTACCCGCAGAGAAATAGAGCCCGTAGAAACTGCCTACAAAGCCAGCCGGAGGGCTGCACGGTAAAGAGAGAGTTCACCTGTCCTGCCCGAGGGCTCTGCGACCAGCTGCTTCAGGCTCTCAGAGCCCCCAGGGACCTGGAGGGCTGTAAGGGATAGTACTTTTGAGTTTTTCTCCCTGTTGACCCTTTTTGCCTCCCAACACATTGGGGAATAGCCGGAGCACTTCCGCCCTTGTGGGACATTCCAAGGCTGCAGCCTGAACATGGAGTGTCTCCTTCCACCGTGGGTCTCCCAAGAGTTCTTACGGAGTCCCCACGGAGCAGAGCGGGCTGAGACTCAGCTCCCCCAGGCCTGCTCTTCCTTTTCCTTTGGCCACAGCAGTCGGGGTGGACGGTTCCCCGCTCTGCTATGGACCGTCACCCATCTGCTCAGCAGCATCACTCCAATGGTGTTCCCAGCCTGACTTCTGTGGGGGCTAAACACAGAGCACGCTTCCTGGTTGGCTAATCTGGATGGTGCCGCGTGGATATGCTGAGGCTCCCACGCGGCACCAGATCTCCTGTGGGGTAGTTGTTATGGGGTCACTGCTACTCCCCTGTTGCCCCTGAGGGAAGATCTGGGGTACACTGGGGTATCCTTGTGGAGCAGCGGCCTTCGTTCCTTTCCCACCTCACCTGTTTCTGGCAAGGGCGGCCGCCGCATGGGGAAGTTAACATCTGGACTGAGCCTCTGATAAAGCTCAGACCCTTCTGGGATGGCAGGTTAGAGAACAGTTTTCAGAGCTCAGAGCGGGACAGTTTGGTCAAAAGGCAGACTCAAAGCCTTCCTTGGGCTTCCCTCAGCCAGCTGAGGCACTCACCTTGTCCCCCCATGTCTCTGTCAGTCCAGGTTGGACCCCCCCCCCTTTGGACTAGTGTGTCTAGCTGTATTTAATACCTCAAAGTCAGTGTGGCTCTGGGGCACGTTGGGGCAAGAGCGTGGGGGGTGCGCTGTTGACGCGGCATTCAGCAAGGCTTGGTTTCAGGATGCCGATGGTCACCCCCCCATCCCCTGCATCTTCCCTCTGTCGTCTGCCTGTGATACACACCGATGGCAATAACTTTTTTCCGGCTCCCTCGCAGAAGCGGGAGAGGGCTACAACCAACCCCGCGATGGGGGAGCCTCTCCCTCTTGCTCTCGCTCTGCTCTATTTTGGCTACAGAGATCTCTTCATCCTATCTACTTCTCCTGCAGCATTTCTCATCCCTCACCTCCCTTTATGGACAGGTGTCTGGCCTTCTAAATCCCCGTGTTTCGGTGTCTTCTCACCCCTACCTACCCCAATTATCTGTTTTGGTCTTGCTGTGTAATGGAAATGTGCTTGTAAATCCAGTATCAAATCGGCTTTGTGTATACGTGTGTTTATGGGGTGGTTTCTTCCTTTTGCTGGTCGCTAGACCATGTTGTACAACTGTGTACAGTCTGAGCAGGCAGGGGCTGACAGCTGATGCCAGGCCCCTCAGCGGTTGAGCCTGTTGGGGGGACCCAGCCGCTCTTGGACAGGTGTCTGAGCTCCTGTCTGGCCTCCTCTTTTTCTTTCCTTCTTTCTTCTTCTTCTTCTTCTTCTTCTTCTTCTTCTTCTTCTTCTTCTTCTTCTTCTTCTTCTTCTTCTTCTTCTTGTAATTTGTGTGTATTTCTAACTGATCGTATTGAAAAAAAAAGAATCCTAGTATTTCAGTGACATTGCCTGTTGTGAGATGAACCTCCTGTGACTTCTGTCTGTTCTGTTTTGAGGCTCAGGGAGAAACTAGCATTTTTTTTTCCAAACTACTTTTTGTCACTGTGACAGTTGTAAATAAAGTTTGAAAATGCTTTCCATTCTGGTCTGGGTTTCTTTTTTTCCCTGTTGCATGGGGATGGAGTTCACTCAGGAGTAAGGGGACTTGCCCTGGAGAGGTCTCCCGTGTGTTTCTCCTACTGGCTCAGTACACTAACTCCTCGAGGGAGATATTGAATAAAAAAGCCTGTTCATCCAAATTCAATGTGGTGAACTGGTGAGTTTATTTTTTTTAATAGGAACATGGATGACCCTGAAGTAGTCACATCACTGAAAAGTCTCACTCTAGCATGAATGGCAACTCCCCCATAGTTTGATAGATTCAGTCCCCTCATTTAGATCTCCACTCTCTGTATATTCTAATAGCTCCAAAGACCACATTCACCAGGGGTAGAATTACAGAAAACTGGGAGGGAAACACAGGAGGGGGGGAAGAGATAGGGAATGGAGGGGTTGGGGGGTGAGGGGTGGGGGTGGGAGGTAGGGGGTGGGAGGTGGAGGGGTAGCTGGACTGTCAGTGAATGGTATAAGGACCCTCCCCAACTCATCCTTCTAGGAGGGAACATCAACAAGCCTGACCTTGAGGGTCTCTGTGTGTGACCACAACTGCTCTGGTGGTGGCTGTTACACCCAGGGGACAGCATTCTACAACGTGGCCCTCTCCATGGGAGTCCACCCAACACCTGGTGGGATGGAACCAGCCTTTCTTCTGTCAGTGGCCCTCAATTCCTGATTCATATCAGAATTCTTTGGAGAATTCCACAAGCAAATGTTAAGCTCTTACTCCTAGAAACTTGGATTTTGATGGTTTGAAGTGGACTGGCCATCTGTATTTTCTAGAATCTCTTGGGGGAGATTTTTGATATGAAGCTGAAGGTCTAAACTAACCTTTTAAAGGAAGGGAAACTCAGTCGGACGGTGGTGGTGCACGCCTTTAATCCCAGCACTTGGGAGGCAGAGGCAGGAGGATCTCTGTGAGTTCAAGGCCAGCTTGGTCTACAGAGTGAGTTCCAGGACAGCCTCCAAAACAATACAGAGAAACCATGTCTCGAAAAAAAGCAAAAAACAAAAAAGGAAGGGAAACTCAGACGTGTCATGAGATTGTTTGTAAAGGCTGGGGTTGGGGAGTGGCTGTACCTAGATATGAACACAGAGAAATGGAACATGGTCCTAGCCATTTGTCCAGTGCCCACTGTTGTCAGACAAAAAGGAAAGTAAACAAATTAGCAATGATCCAGGCTCTTGAGGTATGTCGCTTTGTAAGTGTCAAATGACAAATGTGAGTTCAAGGTCAGGAAAAGGCTAGGTGCTCTGAGAATGGTTATCAGGTCAGTGGGCACATGAGGAGGGGCCTCAGGAGATACAATGAGAATTGGCCAGACAACAAACAGCAGAGAGAGGAGAGGATGACTGTGAGTGGGAGGAAGCTGCAGAGAGAGGCTTGGAATGAGCTTGACCGGGAGGACCCTCAGAGACCGGAACAGGCTTTGTGGATGTCAGCGGAGACAAGGTGAAGCTTTGTGGAAAGAATTCTTGATCAGTTTCTGACTCAAGGCTGGGTATTTTTTGACTTCAATAAGCCAAATGGTGAATAGAAATAATCAAGTGATCTGCACCGAGCTATCACCCAATCCTCGTGAAGTGTCAATCCATACAGATGCTAGCCTTATGAAGCTGCCAGATATGTATGCACCTGTTACCCCGAGGGCGACTTGAAGAACCCATCTATTTGCATATTAGATTGTCCCTCTGTTTCCCTCCAATATTCTGAAAAGTTTATCTAATGTGGACTTTTTGAACACAAACTCTCAAAAGTCTGTCTTCAGTTGCATGTGTTATCATTTATGTGGAAAATACTATGAAACTACAAAAAAGGAGAAAGAATTGATATGTGGTTTGCATGGTTGCAGCACCTAAACTCAAAATGTAAACATTTGCTGGATTTTCATATAGCAATAAATGACTAGGAGTTAAAATCTGAAAATATTACTTATCGATAAATGTTAGGCATATACAACCTGGGCAACAAGTCCACAAAACTGAAATTAAAGAAGATGTACAAAAATCCAGAGATATACCAGGTTCATGGACCTGAAGACTTGATGCAATGAAGTCAGTTCTTTCTTGACTGATTTATAGATTCAAGACAATCAAAATCTCTGCAAGAAACTTGTTCTCTTAAAAGCTGATGGTATCAGATGCTGAAATGTCTATAAAATTCAAAAGCCCCAGAAGGGCCAAAGCAATTTTGGAAGAGAAAGTAGAACCTTAGAGATGTGCAATTCTTGATTTCAAAACTTAGCACAAAGTGACAGCACAGTATTTGCATCAAGGCAAACAAATAGGTTTATAGGACACAACAGAGTCCAGAAATAATCTGATGTAGACCAATTGATTTTTTGACAAAGGTTCTAAGGCAGCTCAGTGGAGAATGGTAGTTTTCTCAACAATTGTGGAACCAGTGGCCTTCTGAAGACCAATCAATCACTTCTGGTCACAGAACCCTGACTCTTCATTTCTATCTCCCGTGACTGATGCTCCAAATGACTCTGTAACGATAAATGGCACACTTACTGAAAGTAAAACTAAGTATTTATTGTAGAAATTACTCACAAGATACCAAACAAGTAACCCAGATGAGCCCAGTAGTTTTCCGCTGCCGAACCGGAAGCCGAAATCCGGGAAAAGAGAGCAAGACTTCCTTTGTGCAGTCTTTTATGCCTCCCCCCCCACCCCCCCGTAACGCCCAAAGTGGGCCTGGCTAGTGACGTAATTCACTGCCTACGTATGTATACGTCTTTACGTCCATCCGTATAAGTCTTTAGTCATGCCTAAAGTGGGTGTGGTTAGCGGTGTGGTAAACCACTCTTTTATTGCCTCATCTGTATGCGCCTCTAGTAAGTCACATGGTTAATGGCGGCATACAGGCTTCCTCCTACACGTGACTTTCTGGGCAGAATGATTCTTTGTTTGAAAATAGCTCCTTCATTTTTCCTGGTTGGCCAATCTCTTCAATACTGTCCTACTTTTCAAAGGTCTGTTACAAGTGCACTAGGTGGTGACTGGTGGACTTCACTGTGTTACACAGGCTGATAGAATTTGGCTCCTTCATCGGTGCTCCGAGTCTGTTTCTTACTGTCTAGACTCCTGCGTGTTCTGGCCTGGGGACTGGAGATAAGACAAGCAGCTCTGGAGCAGGAGTGTGAAGACTGAAATTAAGCTTAGCCAGCCCCCACAGTCAGGATTCTCTCTAGCCTCTTTTTGAAGATCCTGTGGCTAATGAATAATAGCTCCTGTCTTCTGGGCCCTGCTTTTTGTCCTCTGGCTCCTTTGTGCACACAGTATAAAAGTCGCCTCACAGTAAAATGTTCCTCTCCCCTCAAGTGCAACTCTCTTCCGGCACCCATTGTTCATCATTCTGAGATTTGAAAAGCAAAGCGAAGTAGGAAAAAAATTTAAGCCTGATTGTCCACCAAAATATTGGACAAAATATTAGGTTTGACCCCAGCCTTGAAGATACAACTCTAGGTGGTACATGCCTTTAATTATAGAACTCAGGAGACAGAAGCAGGAGGACCAGACACTTAAGGTCATCCTTAGGCTATGTAACTAGGGAATGGTTGGACGTGGTGTGAACAGAGGAGAAAATACAGGGGAGAGACACAGTATGTAGAAAAGCCCTGCAGTAGAGTTTAGCTTGGCTTTTCTGAGACATATCTGTAACTAGAGAGACACGTGGCTACAGCAGAGAGAGAAAAGTGGCTCAGTTCAGAGGCCACATGTGGCACCCATGGGTCCTATGGGCCTGTGGATTTAGGGTTATTTGACCTTCTGTAAGCAATACTCAAGGATGTGAGCTTCTGCACCAGGCATTTGTGGACATCTACTGGTCTGCCCATTCCAAAACGGTAGACCTGAAAAATGCCCCATCCTAAAAGGGTTCTACATCTTCGAAGAAGAGATCAGATAGAATTAAGTCATTCATCCGTCCCTAGATAACCCTGATTATGACAAGAATGTGAGACCTGGGATAAGATGGCTGGGTCTTTGGCTTAGCCCTTCCTCTTCTCTCTGCCTCACTTTCCCCATTTATGAACCGTAATGGATGATGGCTGTGATGAGCTATAAAGCCTTTGCACTAGACACCTGTGAATTAGTGACTCACAATCCCCATTTAGTAGAATTCCCTTCCCTCTCATTACCTGGATGGAAGCTTTCATGGGAATGCCATTGATTTGCAATATTTCCCTGCTGTTTTCTGCCAGAGAGAAACCAACTACAGGAACAAAACGAGTTTACTCTTCTCTGTGTCTGGCTCCCATTCACAGAACTCTGGCTGCCTCCATTCTTCTGTTTCTCAAATGCTTCTGAAAATTGTGGCCTTTCATATAGGAGATGATTTCGTTTTTACACAACTGGCAATGATGGAAATGGTAAAAGGCGATGGAATCTGGTGACTTCATTTGTTAAATCTCATTTGGCAGAAAATTGGTTACTTGCATGTTGGGTTCCTTCTGATTGCTATCCTTCCTGCTCAGCAAAAGGATATGCACATACATACATACATACATACATATATACATACACACACCTTTTATATATCCCCAGTGAAGCAGGCATTTTTAGTGGATTTCATCAAAAGGACATGCACATACATACATACACACACCTTTTATATATCCCCAGTGAAGCAGGCATTTTTAGTGGATTTCATCAATGAGAAAGCTGATGCCAGAGAGCTTCACAAGCTTCACAATACACTGTACTTGTGACCAGAAAGAGCAGTGCTAACCAGAGTCAATTATGTACCAGTAAATATGTTAACAACCTGCTGGCTGAGAGAAAAACTAAATAAGAAAAGCAATGACTAGTATTTTCCCACTACCATTTTCCCATTACTTTCTCTGTGGCACTAAATTTGACTTGGCTGAGTTCATCTCTGGAACCCTCAGTATCTTCTAAGTCATAAGAACACAGAATTGACTTCCTTTTCTAAGGAATGAATCTACCTCAAAAGCTAGAGCAATCCCTAGCTCAGGGA